CACACCCAACTCTTCTGCTCTCGCCTTTGATCCCAACTCGTGCTTGTTCATGCTGCATGTCTCTTTGCAGTTTCCCTTTCACCTGACACGACTTGCCTTGCCTGGCATTGCCTTTTGCCTCGCTTTGTCTTCGCCTCTGCTGCTGCTGCTGCTGCTGCTCATGTTGCTTTCCGTTCCGTCTCACTTTACCGCCCTCCTCGAACGGAGTCGGATCTGTCGATAAACCCTTGCTCAACCTGGTCATCCTATCTTTTAGCCCCCTTTTCCTTCTTTCCTTTCCTTAACTCCCCTTCTATCCCAATGCCATACACGCCCTCGAGCTGACGACCTTTTGTCACCTATAGACAACGTCGCTCCCTCTCTCTCTCTCTCTCTCTCTCTCTCTCTTCTCTCGCCTTCTCTCCAGCATAGCCTCTGCCGAACTGCGACAGTGACGTTTCGGCTCTTCCGATTCGGGTTTGGTTGGGTGAGGCTCAGTTTCCGACCAGCTCAGTCATAACCCTCGAGGCTCTTCTTTCCTCCTTTCGTCAGGACCACCTCCTTCAACCTCGATCGTCCAGTCCTTGCTACGATAGATATACCATTCCATCCTCTTTCTACCAACCACTAGCTTGCTAGCTCTTGACTGCCAGCAACACCAACACCAATATCCTCGCCCTTCCGCCATCGTCACCGCAGAGGAGCGACTATAGACCCTCATCAGACCCTCCCCGAACGTCTTTGCTTTCCTCGACGTCAGCGCATCGATACGGGCACCGCCTACCCGCCGCCCGCCGTTGCTCTCTTCCAATTGCGAGAGTTGACAATCGCGATACTCCCAACAACCGTTCGGCACACTTGGACACTATCCGGCTTCCGACATCGCCTCCTTTCACTCCCTCGACAGTTCGGCTTAGCTTCGACCGGAACACTCGCGTCACCTCATACCTCTTGTCGCCTATTGAGAGCTGTCTCTACCATCAGCCTTTACAATTCATCTTTCTTCCAGCTCGCTCATTGCCATCGCTTCATCGCGAACCTTGAAACTTCCTCCGACCTCCGTTGTGCCTTTGAATCGTCACATTGCGCTTTTACGATCGATCTGCGTCATCGACATTGGCCACGGAAACGCTAATCTTCATCGATCCCGCAAAACTTTCTTTCGGAAGTCGTAAGTACCCACCGCCTTTCATTCTTCCTCGCAGCTCCTCGCTTGATCTTCCGACAATCATGTGTGGAGTCTCTCCTATGGTGCAGCATATGCGTTCCTGAACGCTAGTATTATTGCGATTGCGACTCCACACACGCAACCTTCCTTCGGTCTCCCATCGGCTGCAAGAGTAAAGTTGGGACGCGATTTGCTTCGTCTTAGCTGTCCTTCAACGCAAGCTTTGCTCGAGATGAACAAGACCTTCCCTCACTTTGCTCTGCTCGCCGATTTGTGGACTGTTTGCAATGCAAATGAAGCATCGCAACCCTTTGAAGGATGTCACCGTCCACGGCCACAACCTGCACCATGCACAAGTCCCGCTGCAATTGCTGTGTTGTGCAGGCTATAGTTTGCTTCATATGACCGCACAACCGCGCTCACCATCGCAAATATTGACAGTCTTCTTTCCAGTCTAGTAGCCGTTGCCCACTTGGCACTTGGTGGGCCGAATGTCTGCCGATTCTTGTGTGATGCTCCCGTTTCGGAAAACACTTTCTGCTCTTGACCAGTCATCCTTGTGCTCTGTCGTTCAGGACAATCCACTGACCTCGAACTTTTGTCTCTCTTCTGTTTGCTGATTTTCTGATCGCCACCGTTCTCCTCTTCGCTACCGCCATGCTGCACCATCAACATCAACAATCTCTTCATGGAACTCTATCCATCATGAAGCTTTCTTGCGTCAACCGGCGGCATTCAATTGCATTGCATTACCTCACGTGCAACCCTGCTTGACCCGCCTCGGTGCCTGCTTTGCCTTCATTTTTCGACGTTAGACCTCAACATCTTCACCACAGACGGGTGTCTAGACGCAACTTCCGACGTTGCTAGCTTCGACAACAGTGTCGTACACTGCATCCGGTGCGAACGGCTTCATCTGACTGCCAACCGATCAAGCTCCCTTCATTTGTCGTTTCCCTCGACCTGCATACATATCCTTTCTAACCTTGCTTGTTGCCCGAACGGTCAACTCGAGGTCCCCACCGTCAACGCACAAAGCTTCTGGGCGACTAGGCCTCACAACTCTTCGAGACCTGAGATCGATACCCGACGCACAGAGTCCTAAGCAGCACCTCGTGGCAAGCAGCCTGATTGCGCATACCGTTGCCTCCAGGTCTGCTCACCTAAGTTCGGCTTCATCCGCATCATCAAGCCACGCTTCTTTTTCTTGTTGACGTGAGAACCTGATATATCTACTCTCGAGACGGTGTTTCTCTTACTTGTTCGTAATCGTTAAGCTCTCGATAGTAGTCTCGATAGATCCGACAGTCAACCACCAGCCTTGCTCACGTACTGCAAGCTCGATCAGTCCCCATCGGCATTCAAGTTGCTGCACATCACGCATAGCTCGTCGAATCGGACCCTTCACCCGGCGCCCTTCTCGATCTTCTCAATTTTAGCGCCTCAAGCCGCGCGGTTGTCTTCCTTCCTGTCCCGTTCGCAGGACGAGTCAATGGCAGTTGTACAGCGCCACGACGGAGTCGGCCAGTACGGCTTCAGTCAGCAGTACTCTAGGATGGCCCCGCCATCCTCGTACCCGAACTTCGGTTACGATCGTCGATCGCAAGCAGAGGAACACGCCGAGCCCATGTGGCCTGTACCTCGTATGCAGCAGCAGCTTCAGCAAGGCTCTGCCGCTGACAGGTCAAGGGATCTAGCTGGCTTCTCCAACAGCTTCTCACAACCAGATCTGTCTCGCCATCAAGGACACCTAAGCAACTACACTTACGACAACTCATCATCAGCGGCTTTGCGTAATCCAGTGGTCTACAGCCAACCGGCACAAGTGCCCTGGGGTATGGCCGGCCAGTCGAGCACCGACTATGCCGAGTATCCTACGGCATCCTTCATGGCTCCTATGGGTCAGCGGCCCCAACCTTCTCTTCACAGCCAAGCTCCTTACCTTGGCGGCAACAGCGGTGCATATGGCGACTCGTCTCTACACGCCGGTAACGATGCCTTCCCCAAGATGATGAACGGCTCGGCGCCCGCTCTCGGCGCTCCATACGATCACACTGCCGAGACGCTTTGGCCGTTGGGTCCCAACTCCCTCGACGCTTTCGCTGACATCCCAGTACCATCGGGTCAAGTGTCGCGTATCACGCTGACTTCGGCGGCAGACAGGGGCAAGCTCAAAGCTAGGTCGTCGGTTCCTCCACCCAAGCAATTCAAATGTTCGGCGTGCGATGCTATCTTCAGTCGCAACCATGATCTCAAGCGTCACGCTCGCATTCACTTGGCTGTCAAGCCTTTCCCATGTGGCTACTGCGACAAGGCTTTCAGTCGCAAGGACGCTCTGAAACGTCACGTCTTGGTCAAAGGATGCGGTATTGGCAACAAGAAGCAGAATGACAACCGAAAACGCGCAGCGACGTTGTCCAAGCTCGAACACAGCGAAGGTGGCAGCACTGCCCGTGCTCCTTACGACGGTGGCTCATCTGACGCAAGGGTCCGCGACTTTAGCGGCTTCCGAGATGACCTGCACTATCAAGGTCAGCAGCAGCAGCATCAGGGTCTGCAGGGTGACGCTTGCAGCTCTCGTGGTCTTCCCGACAGGATAAATGTGTCCTGGCCAACGGAGTTCCCGGACCCTAACAATGCATCTTCGAACGTCAAGACAGAGTATGGTTCCTCCCACGGTACGCAGTTGCCGCAAAATGGGTCGCTCCAGTCATATGGTGCTTCTCAGCAGCAGCAGCCTTCATACCCTACCTTTGGCATGGGCGAGGATGCCTTCCAGCAGTCTCAGCAGCAGCGACAGCAGCTTCCTGGCGGCCTTGTGAATGCATTCACATCACCGGGAGGCACCTCTGCCTCGTCTCCAGCCGACTCGAAACCCATCATGAGCGGCGTAATGGGAATGCCCGGCTAAAGTCTCGACGTCAAAGATGCTGAGAAGCAGTCGCCGCGACTTGGCAGCGCCATGCTCCTCGATGCGGTTCCCTACGGCTCGCAACCGTTCGGTGTCGACAACTCGATGCAGTAGAACGCCGGCATGAGCATGCCCAACGAGTCTGGTAACGGCTTTGGTAGCTACGAGGCCCAGAACAAGGATCGCTTCGGTCCCGCAAGCTACCTAACAGCACCCAAGATCTCGCCCTCGCTCAACGCTGGACCCGATCAAGACATGAACCACCCGCATGTTATTTCGAACTTGAAGAGGCAGCAACAACAGCAGCACCAGCAACAGCCTTTTAGCTCGTACATTGGCAACAATGCCGCCAACTAAGCATCCACTTCTTCTCTTCTCGTAGCTTCGAAGCGCTGATCTCTCTCATCATCCATCATGTGGGTATATATGCGAGGACTTTGCTACGTCCTTCTATCCGTTGACTGATTTCGAAGACTGTCAGCTGTAGATCTAGGGAAAGCGTTCCTTCCCATGCCGGCAAGGATTGCGGATTTCAACTCTTATACATGCCCTGTCGAGCCGTATTTCGGCATGCCACCTTCTCTTCGTTACCGTCACCGCAGCATATACACCCGCGCGGGTCCCACCTCTCTCTCTCTCTCTCTCTCTCTCTCTCTCATCCTTTCACACTCTTAGCATCTTGCATTGATTCCTGTGTCGTCCTCGATCCCCACCTCACCTTGTCCTTGTATCTCGTGAAAGTCGTTCTTTGTACGCCCGCGCATACCCAGTTGCAATGTTCAATGATTCCCTGTCACCCGACAAGTCTCTGTCAGATGCCTTGGTGTGTTTCTACTGAGTGGGCGTCCGTCCTGTTGGTGATGGGAGTTCGTTTCGTAGGTGTTGATTACTAGTACAATTTCAATTCAATCTAATTGCGCCACTTTGCTATGATGATAGGTTGGCTTCATGCCGCAGTTGGTTAGCGCGTCTCCTTAACACTTCGAGTCTTCGGATCGATAGGGCTTACGGAGGAGGTCGCCGGTTCGAACCCGGCTGAAATCATTTATCTTCTTGTCTTCCATTCTGCTGGACTCAATGACGAATGCTTGAGTCCCACTGTCTAACCAAGGCAAGATGGAGGAGACCTGAGACCACGCTGCATGGGTTTGCAATACGGCCTCGGACACCTTTTTGTGGTGAGATAGCACGATCGGAGTGCGCGGGTGGTCAAGTGTCCGTGTTGCTCCCAAGGCGACACAAAGTCAAAGCCTAAGTATTGTTCTTTTGGGTGTGTCAACTCGAGCGATGCTCCTTCGATCCAAAACGATAAGCTTTCTTGCTTGTGTTCGCTGGTCTGACCTGCAAGTGAATGCCTCTCTGCACAGGTGCGAGCCGAGCACATTGACTCATCCAGTTCAGACGAATAGAACCAAGTCTTTCCACGACAAAAAGGAAGGGTCCAAAAAGGCCGGACAAAAAAGCGAGACAAGAAAAAGGATGCTCTCTTCGACTGGGCCATTCAAGGCCCTTTTGACATGACAGAATGACATGACAGAAGAACGGAAAAGGTTTTGACCAGCCTGGGGCTCGAACCCAGAATCTCCTGATTACTCGCTGCTTGGGAGGCTACGGTCGTAGTCAGACGCCTTACCATTGGGCCAACCGGCCTTAGATATTGTTGTTCTTCGAAATTCCATCCTAGACACCTTTATGTGGAATCGTGAATCGAGCGCACAGCATGTCTTTCCAAGCTCATGGCCTTGAATTTTATGATCAGTCTTCGTCGGAGTGTCCAGCGCCGGAGCTCTATTCTCCCTGTATTTGATTTATACAGTGCCGTCGAATGGGCGCTTTTCTCACCGAGCAACGTCGCAGTGAATGTCCCTGGAAGAGTGACGGAGAGCAGAGCCGCTTGATCTGTTTACTCTCTTGTTGTTCGTCAATGAAATCATTGCAGAGGTTAAGTACACATCTCAGGATGACCGAGCTGTCAGTTTCAGACAATCAGCTCGTTGCAGACTCCCATGACCTGAAGCGTGGGCTGAACGTGAGTCCTTATCGACTCCGGCCGCACATGAGAGGATGAGCCCAGACGCAATGTTGTCTTCAGGGCTGCAACTTTCCACATCAATCTGCTCCCTCCCACTCTCGGCAACGGTGCTCGCGTAGACAGAGATGACTGTGAAGCTCGCAGCGAATTCTAGATCGGCTAGGGGAAAGGTCAGGGCAAGAAAGAGACGAGATCAATAAAGTGAACAAAAAATTGACCAGCCTGGGGCTCGAACCCAGAATCTCCTGATTACTCGCTGCTTGGGAGGCTACGGTCGTAGTCAGACGCCTTACCATTGGGCCAACCGGCCGTCAATGGCATGATAGTTGAACTTTGCGTACAGAAATCCCTTTCATAACCCGAACGACGCCGACATTTAGCACAAGAAGAATCTCGGGAAAATGCCGTGACTCGCTTGCTTCTCATGCGCAAGAGTGAAGAGTTCAACACCACCTCTTCCACCTCATCATCATCTTCGACCCATCCTCACACGCCGCAAAGATGTCTTCTAGAGCTGCCTCTATCTTCAAGGATGCTTCCTCCAAGGTGTTGCGCCTCGGTATGATGCCTGCCGACGGTATCGGTCGCGAGGTTCTCCCTTGCGCTCAACGCGTATTGCAGAACACTCCCGGTGCTCCCAAATTCGAGTTCGTCCACCTCGATGCTGGTTTCGAGCACTTTCAGAAGACCGGCTCAGCGTTGCCAGAGGAGACTGTTAAGGCGCTCAAGAACGACTGCCACGGTGCCATGTTCGGCTCGGTCTCGAGTCCTTCCCACAAGGTGGACGGTTACAGCTCGCCTATCGTCAAGTTGAGGAAAGAGCTTGATCTGTATGCCAACATTCGACCTGTCATTGGCGTTCGTGGCACCAAGGACGACGAAAAATTTATCGACAGTGTGATCATTCGTGAGAACACTGAGTGCTTGGTAAGTTGCTCCGAAACTCGCTCCCAGAACATTTCCTATCTACAGCTTGCACAGATGACTTATCTCTAACAAGCGTTGACCTCACTTTTTGAATCATTCGATCACACAGTACATCAAGTCCGAGGCCAGCGAAAGCGGCCCCGACGGTCAAATTGCACGAGCTATTCGTCAGATCACCGAAAAGGCCTCCACCCGCATCGGAAAGAAAGCCTTCGAAGTCGCCCTTGCTCGCCAAGAACTTCGCAAGACCACTCAGCCCAACTACTCTCCCACTGTTACCATCTGCCACAAGTCCAACGTGCTTAGCGTCACCGACGGTCTCTTCCGTACTTCGGTCCGAGGCGTCTATGAGAAGGACCAGAAGTCTAACGGCGGTGCCGGCAGGTATGAGGGCGTCAAGCTTAACGAGCAGCTCGTCGACTCGATGGTTTACCGTCTCTTCCGTGAACCTGAGGTGTTTGATGTTGTCGTTGCTCCCAACCTTTACGGTGATATTGTTTCGGACGCTGCCGCTGCTCTTGTCGGCTCGCTTGGCCTCGTGCCTTCCGTTAACGCTGGTGACAACTTCTTCATGGTAGGTACAGCTCCCCTTCCTCCTTAACCTCCATCTTTCCCCTTATGACTCATTTCACCGACTGCTGTCTGTTCCTTACGTGTTGCTTGATGATGTGCAGGGAGAGCCAGTCCACGGCTCAGCACCAGACATCGCAGGTCAGGGCAAAGCCAACCCCATCGCCTCGATCCGCTCTGCCGCGCTCATGCTCGAATACATGGGCTACACCGAACCCGCTCTCAAGATCTACACCGCCGTCGACGCCGTCATCCGCGAGGGCAGGTATCTCACTCCTGACCTTGGAGGCTCGGCTACCACTACTCAGTGCGAAGAGGCTATTCTCAAGAAGATCAACGATGCCTAAACGGGGCCTTGTGTGAGAGCTGTCTTTATAGATCCAGTCACAAATAGTAAACAAGAGGTAGAGATCTCGGTTTGCAGTGCTTTCAAGTGTGTGGATGAGTGCGGTGTGGCCGCAAACCCGAGCACTCACTGACGCTCTGAGCAAAGGGAAACCGGCGTGTTCGGACCCGAAACTGCCTCGACAACCCAACATCAGCTCGCTAGTTTAGTGTGTGTACATTCCTGACCAAGAGCGGGACTAAATACATGTTATAAGAGGCTAAGGGCAGAGGAAAGAACCTAGGTCCGTCCGGGGAGGTATGAGCAGCCCGTTTCCTTCCAAGTTTCCTCTACCCTTTTCCTCGAGGCATACTCTGAGATTACTTGAGCCATTGGGTAATTCTGCGCAGCTTTGGATCCAATGTTTTCTTTTTCCGTGTTGCATGAGCGCTTCAACCAAGCCCATCTAGGCGTACTCGCCTGGCTTGCTATCTATTGCAAAACCATCGCCTTCTACCTCGAGCATCTCAAACGAAAGGCCCGCGATTGCTTCGGCACCCCTCGCCGATGCGATTCCGATCCACGCCTATGCTGGCAGACTATTGTCTATCAACTTGCCGCGGCTATTCACTCGCCCTCTTCCGGATTCCTTCCCCACAAGCTCTTCGAACAGCCTCAAACGTGTCCTCACATCCGTCTTGTACAAGATCTTTCGGATCCGCTTAGCAGCACCGATGCCACCACCTCCACTTCCACAGAGCAACCAACAAACCGAAGGAAGGCCGAGCTGTACGCACCTATGCAAACTCCACCGCAGCTCTTCGGCACTCGCAGGCTACGCAGTGTCATGCTCGAATACATTTGCAAGTCCGCCACCGAACTGGACCAAGACATGTGCAGACGGCTCGCAGGGCGTCTCAAAGAGCCCGAACTGCTCGTCACGGCGATAAAAGAGTATCTCAAGCCGCACACTTCCGAGCTCGCGGTCGTCGACCGTATTTAAGTTAAGCTCTGCCAGGGAACGCCGGTCCGTCGATACGCGGCGCTGCGCAAATTGACTCGTCACTGACCTACGCACTCTGTAGTGTCAAGCTTTTGATGGTGTTCCTGTAGCCGCTTGTGAAGTTGAACCATAGTAAGCGCAAAAGTAAGACAGAAGCAGATGTTTCCTTCTCGCAGAAGAAAGATTCTGCGCACCAAGCCGCTCCGCTCTGCTGGCATGCAATGTCCGACTATGCCGCAAGCTTTCCGTGCTATAAAGTACGACCACGCCACCGATGCATCTTCCCGTCCTTCCGCAAACTCCTCTTGCAGCATCCACTTACTTGCTTGCAATATCACATCAGATGGCCCGGCGTGGCTTGCAAGATCAACAGCCCAGAGAGGCTTCTAGCGATGCCTCTCTCTGGGAAGAACTCGATGATCCCATCAATGCCTTTGATGGCATCTCGACGCCGCCACTGCCCTCGTCACCAACTCAAGTGGTCAAGATTCTTGGGGTGACGCACAAATCGGGCAGCAAAATAGGACGCTCCAGTCTCCTGGATCAGACTGATGCTATCAAGTGTCAAGTGTCAAGTGGATCGAGTGTTCAGGCAGGTGGTAAAACAACAGATGCTTGTCAGACACTGCGGCCGAGCAAAAGCGCCAAGACAAATGGAAAAGCGAGAGCGACAGCAGAGGAGATCGACAAGGTGGTTGCTGAGGACATGTTCAACACGTTGTGCTCGCCTCCATCATCACCACCACCAGGACCTCGAATCAAGTCAATCTCGGGCATGCCAGCAGAAGAGCAGCAATTCTTCTATCGTCTTGCGTTCGGAGGAGGCTCCTCTTCTTCCAGTTCTCCTGGCAACATGGGCGTGACATCACGAGGAAAGAATGACAAGACATGGCAGACAACATGGGATAACTCAAATCAACCAAGTACAAGCACTGTCAGCTTGGCTGCGACTAGCAGGCCAAACTTGGCTTCCGGCAGTAGTTCCAGCCGCGGTGTAGCAAAGGGATCACCATCAAGTACCAGCAGCGGTGCAATTCGAGGTCGGGAGCCGTCCGCATCCACCGTAGAAGCTCGCACAGTCGACGAGGCATTGCACCGTGCATCTGTTTGCCTCCGTACAGTGCGATCAGCTGCCACAGCATCTGCATCCTGGTTGAAAACCGTTCACAATGAGCGCACAAGTCTGGACCCAAGCCTGCGCTAGAACTTCGAACCTGGCAATTGACTAGCAAAAGAGAGTAGAATTGACACAAGTCAGAATGATGATGACAAAAGAGAATGCATTTCAATGATTCTGCCTTCCTTGAAAGGAGATAATTCTATTTACATGTGTGCATGCGACACAGGCTTACTTGCGAATAGCGTAAGCAGTCTCGCGATCGGAACCGGCCTGGTTCCTCTCAGCGAGACCCAAACCGTATCGGCGGAGACGGATAGCCTGTACTGTGATGAAACCTGAGGTAGCAGCCGAGTCGAAACCACCCTGCTCGTCCATCGATGTGAACTTCTCATCGTAGAGCAACTCCTCGGAGCTTCGGCCCTCAATGATGACGTTACCCTTGTAAAGAGCGATCTTGACCTGACCGTTGACCGTCTTTTGCGACTGAGGAATGCACGAGCGAACAAACTCGCATTCGGGGGAGAAGAAGAAACCGTAGTAGAGCTGTTCGGAGAACTTGGTGGTGATAACCTGGTCACGAATTCGTCGGACTTCACGGTCAAGAGTGAGACCCTCAAGATCCAAGTGGGCAGCACGGAGGATGGTGGCACCGGGAGACTCGTAGCATCCACGA